CCACAGAAGTCCGCGAAAAGTGTCCACACACACTGAGTCATTGTCCCGCCCGCGAAAAAAGTCCATACACACTGCGCGATTGTCCCAACCGCGAAAAATGTTCACACACTGCGCGATTAAGTAGACCCGCGAGCTGTTCCTCCGTTGGGTTTAAGACTCTATAGGTTACGCAAAACTAACATTCAAAATAATTAATTTAAAACTATTTAACACTAACTTTTATACTAATTTTTAACACGCTTTAATTAATAAAACCTACAATATGTAATAAAACCTGCAAAAATGAATAAAACCTACGATATTTAATAAAACCTGCAATAATGAATAAAATCTACAATATTTAATAAAACTTGCAATAATTAATAAAATCTACAATACTTAATAAAACCTACAATAATTAATAAAACTTACAATAATTAATTTGCACTATTTATAACGACGACATACGCGACACTACTAAATAATCACTACGTAATCGCTAAATAAACTAAAACTTAGTTTTCCGAAGATGAACTCTATTTGCTCGTAGAATGCAAAGGGCACCGTTCGGAAAGGACGACTGATATTGTTGAACTGATCCTCCCTCGTTAGGATCGATGTGGCGTAATAGGTCGATCCCCACTCTTTCATGGTCAATACTTTTTGGGAAGGAGAAACTGCATGGGAAAGTGTCTTGGAGGTCGCGTTACTTTTCGTATATTCTTAGAGCAACATCTGTATTTTTTTCTCATATACCACTCGGGGCCTCGAGACTACTTGGCCACGGTGCCGAGGGAACGCGCGTCTGGACATTATAAAACTGCCTCTTGCCTTCTGCAGGACGACCACCCGCGGATTTCTTGTAACGTCTTACTGCCATCGACGAAGACCTTTTTTTTTTTTTTTTTAACGTAGGGGAAATGTCTTATGCTCAAACGTAGGGGAAAATCTTATGCTCACCTCGAAGTCCTGGGGTAGGACTCCGAGGTAGTGTGGGACTCGCACCCACTAAAACCCCTACGACAGCCTTCTCGGGCGGAACCGGTGGTGGCGGAATCTCTGATGAACACACCGCCACCACCGCACCTGTGCTCCTCGAGGATTCACCTCGAGGAGCCCGTTCCGTGGGGGCGATCTAACGCCCCCCAAGGGGGGGGCATCCCTATACCCAGGTCACCCCCCCTTCTCCACTCCGCCGGTGCCAGAGGACTGCACCCTGACACCGGCCCCACCCCGGGCCGCTTTGGATGCAGTTGGGTACCCCACCCCAACCGCATCTGCGGCCCCGGCAGGCGAATGCGTGCGCGGAGCGGGGAGCCACCAAGGCATAAGCCCCGGCTCCCCGCGGCCCCGCACACACGCGCCCGCCTAACCCGCGGCAGGTCCAGCCTGCCCGGCCGCGTGCGCGGAGCGAGGAGCTATCGAGGCCTAAGCCCCAGCTCCCCATGTCCGCGCACGCGCCCGCCCCACCCGCGCAGGCCCAGCCTGCGAGGAGAGCGAGGCGGGACGCCTACGGAGGGACCCGTCCCCCGTCGACGTCCGCAGAGCCGGCCGTGCGGGTCCCCCGGCCACGTCCACGGCTCCGCCTCGCTCTCCTTCTTTCGCGGCGAGCGGGATCGCGCCTTTCGCGATCCCGCTCGTCGTCCTCCTTCCGCGAGACAACAGTCTCGCGTTTATAATTGTCTTATAATTGTTTTATAATGTCCAGACGCGCGCTCCCTCGGCATCATGGCCAAGTAGCCTCGAGGCCCCGAGTGGTGTATGAGAAAAAAATACAGATGTTGCTCTACGAATATACGAAAAGAAACGCGACCTCCAAGACACTTTCCCATGCAGTTTTTCTTCCCAAAAAGTATTGACCATGAAAGAGTGGGGATCGACCTATTACGCCACATCGATCCTAACGAGGGAGGATCAGTTCAACAATATCAGTCGTCCTTTCCGAACGGTGCCCTTTGCATTCTACGAGCAAATAGAGTTCATCTTCGGAAAACTAAGTTTTAGTTTATTTAGCGATTACGTAGTGATTATTTAGTAGTGTCGCGTATGTCGTCGTTATAAATAGTGCAAATTAATTATTGTAAGTTTTATTAATTATTGTAGGTTTTATTAAGTATTGTAGATTTTATTAATTATTGCAAGTTTTATTAAATATTGTAGATTTTATTCATTATTGCAGGTTTTAATAAATATTGTAGGTTTTATTCATTATTGCAGGTATTATTAAATATTGTAGGTTTTATTAATTATATCGTGTTAAAAATTAGTATAAAAGTTAGTGTTAAATAGTTTTAAATTAATTATTTTGAGTGTTAGTTTTGTGTAACCTATAGAGTGTTAAACCCAACGGAGGAACAGCTCCCGGATCTACTTAATCGCGCAGTGTGTGAACATTTTTCGTGGTGGGGACAATCGCGCAGTGTGTATGGACATTTTTCGCGGACGGGACAATGGCTCAGTGTGTGTGGACACTTTTCGCGGACTTCTGTGGTGTACGTGCGTGTGCGGATTAATTTCATGGATACTCGTGGACAGGACAATTGTGATACGTGACAACTAGAGGGGGCATTAACCCTCTCTACTCGATAATATTCGTAAGAAGATATTTACATTTCTTGCGAGTTTTATCGAGTAATCGGAGTTAATGCGATACATATGGATTCGACTCAAATACCGCGGGCACAAGTTATCGACATCTTCTACGAGGAAAGTAAACAGCTCTTCTACCGACTGTTCCTGCACGTCGTTGAGCCTTTAAAGTGACTGTACGCCCCTGTTGAGCCGTGATCCTCTGACACTCCGTGCGCGCGGATTGCCATGATTTCGGTCAATTTTTAAACGCTTATAACTAACAAACGAAGCATTTTTCGCAATTTCGTTATTCTTGATATTCGTCTTATTTTGCCTCAAAGAATCACCCCTTAAATTTTTTCCCACTAGTTGTCGAACACCCTGTATGTTAGATTACTGTATATTAAAAATACTTTACTTCTATATATTACTAATGCCCAGATGCCTTCCGGCTAAAGTGATAGAGAACAAAAATACAATTAAAGAAAATATCAAGTTACTAAAAAAGTTTTTCCGTTTTTGAGTGTATCATAATTTCAAAAATTGATTCTGCATAACATGACTTATTATGCCGAATACAATAACTGAGCAACAAATTGTATACCTTGTTTCATTTTTTCACTGCAACAATTCTTGGAATTATGATACATGGAAAAACTACAGAACCCTTATATTAAATGCACACTTCCATTTTCGTACTTTTTTTTTCATATTGGCAAAGGTTCTACGGCACACTTTGATCCTCCTTGAATATCTTTTAATTAGAATGCACAATGGAAATAAAAAATTGTAAAGTTACATTTCACGACACATTGTTATGTTAATTCAATTTGTTGTTTACTTCGTAATTACTTCCTTGATTTAGTAATATGTGCTATACGTAACCTCTCTGTGATGTAATTTGTATCTGCAACATTAAAATATTATTCCATTGTATGGGGTGAATCATAAATAAATTCTTCCTTTTTTGCACATAGTTATTGTTGGATTAATGGATGAGAAAACTAACGCGCGAATAACAACATAACCAATATATTTAACATGAGCGAGTAACGAATAACTTTATAATATAATACACGACTCGCGGACGCGTGCCTTTCTCTCGGCAGTCACAAACCCAAAAGGAAGAGGTCTGTGAAGTTAGCACCCCCAAATGGAAAATTTGATGAAAAGCTAACTGTTTGCGAGAAAACAGCTGTACGGATCAGCTGTGCGTATGCACGAACACAGTCGCGCGAGGCACTGGACGCTCGCGTGTATATCAGCTGTGCGAAGAAGACTCTGCCGGTGTCGTGAGCGCCATCTACACCGACGCGATCGAGAGAGCGTTGGCGAGGAGTAAGCGCTACCAGCAGGGTGACGTTTTTTATTTTTTAGTTAGTTTATGGCGGACCGTGTATTACGTCAATCACGTGGCGATGCGCCGAATTGTATTGTATCAAAATAAAGTGTGTCTGCAATTCATTATCTGTAAAACGGTCGTGTAGTGTCTCTGATTCTTTACCCACAACATTTGGCGACCGTGACAGGACTCGTGGAACGGAATAAGTGAGATCGCGATGGATGAAGCGACCGAAAAAGCGAAGAAGGTTAGGAAGGCGCGACGCAGCACCTTTACGAAGACGCTGAATGCGTTAAATGAGAAACTGGATACGCAAAATCCGGATCGGGAAGAGATCCTCGTAACCCTCGAATTATTGACGGAGAAGATGAAGGACCTGGAATTTGTGACGCAGGATATATTTCTACTCATGACAGACGGGGGTGCTACCGAAGAACAGATCGCCACAGAAAGCGATAGTATGGATGAATACAAGAGTAAATTTATGCGAGCAAAGATGAGAGCCACGTGCGTGACTACGACGACGGCGACGTCGACGTCGTCCGTTGATAGAGAGATGATTATGCGCGACAGGAGGAAAACATACAAGTTACCAAGAATCGAACTACTGAAATTCAGTGGAAGCATTCGCGAATGGTTGCAGTTTTGGTCTTGTTTTAAGAAAATTCACGAAGATGCAGACATTGTGGACGAGGATAAATTCCAATATCTTATTCAAGCTATTGTTCCCGGTTCGAGAGCTAGCGGGCTTGTGCGGAGTTTTCCGCCAACGGGCGAGAATTATGCAAAGGTAATTAGCAGTTTAAAGAATCGCTTCGGTCGTGACGAAATTTTGGTGGAAGTGTATGTGCGTGAACTTCTGACATTGGTTTTACAAAACGCCATGAGGAAGGGCGAGAAGAGCACGTTGTCTACTCTATACGATAATCTCGAGTCACACTTGCGCGCCCTCGAGACGCTTGGCGTCACTACCGATAAATGTGCCGCCATGTTGTACCCATTGGTCGAATCTTCACTACCGGAAGAACTGTTACGTGCATGGCAGAGATCGACGATTCCGGGAAATACGGACATCGGGTACGAATCATAGGATCGCCTAACAAAATTGATGGAGTTCTTACAATCTGAAGTCGAGAATGAGGAACGGATATCGATGGCAGTCACGGGTTTCGGCTTAAATAACGAAAATGATATGGCGAAGAAACATAAGGCCAAGGTTGATTTTAATAAAAATATACCGTCTGCTACCGGTCTTTTAACGTTTAAAGCTGAGAAGAAAATGTGTATATTTTGCGGTAACGATCACGCGAGTGCGGAATGCGAAAAGGCGCGTAAAATGTCTTTTTCGGAAAGACAGGATGTGACCAAGCAAAAGAAAGCTTGTTTTAATTGTTTGAACATGGGACATATATACAAACGTTGTAGAGTGCCGGTCAAGTGCGCGTGGTGTAGCAGGCGACATACGCTATTGATGTGTCCAGAGATGTCGAAGGATAAAACGCCACTCGAAAGTTCGTCGGGCAAGAAGGCAGAGACCGTCTGCGAACAGAATCTGGCCAACTCGTCGTGCAGCCCATCAGTGTATCTAATGACATTGCGTGTGAAACTGAAAAATGGGGAAATAGAACGCAATGTGCGCGTTATTGTGGACACGGGTTCGCAAAAATCATATATATTAAGAAGTGCCGCGAGTGAAATTGGCTATCGACCAATAGACAAAGAGACAATCACGCACTCTCTGTTCGGTGGAGTGAAGTCGGAACCGCGAGAGCATAATGTGTATCTTATTCACGCGAGTGCTGTGAACGGACGGTATGCATGTAGTTTTAAAGCCACAGACGAAGAAAAAATCTGTGATAATGTTCCGTGTGTTGGCCGCGGACCATGGCTGAGTGAGTTAAGAAGACTGAACATCGAGCTCACAGATGTCGATAGTCAAGAGGATCCGATCACAATACTATTAGGAGCCGATGTTGCAGGAAAATTAATTAGCGGGAATCGTCGCAATCTAAGCAGCGGGCTGGTGGCTGTCGAGACGTTCTTGGGTTGGACGCTTATGGGGAAGGTCCCAGGAAGTGTCGTGCGTACAGATTCAGCGCTGATGATTACGTCGATGTTCGTACAAGAAGCAACTGTTCCCGATCTCTGGAGTTTGGATATCCTTGGTATCACCGATCCGGCACAAAAGAAGACGAAAGAAGAAAAGGATGCAACTGTGATGAACGATCTTCGGCAAACGATAAAACTGACAAGCGATGCGCGTTATGAAGTGCAGTTGCCATGGGCTGAAGATCATGCGCCTCTTCGTGATAACAAGAGATTGGCGCTGAAAAGACTAGAAGCTGTTAGAAGACGCTTACAGGCAGAAGACTATTATAAAGCCTATGATGCAGTTTTGAAAGAATGGCTGGAAGAAGGGATTATCGAAATAGTTCCGGACGCCGAAATTGAAAAGTCCGCATACTATCTGCCTCATAGACATATGGTGAAGCCGAATAGTACTACAAAAGTGCGCCCAGTATTTGATGCGTCGGCGAAAGAAGGCAATTATCCGTCGTTAAATCAGTGTTTAGAAAAGGGACCCAACATGATTGAACTAATTCCGACAGTATTGCTGAATTTTCGAAGAAGTCGCATCGGCGTTATATCCGATATAAAAAAGGCCTTTTTGCAGATTGGCATTCGAAACGAGGACAGAGATTTTTTGCGTTTTCTATGGTGGAAAAATAACAAAACGGATCAAATAATCGTGTACAGACACGCACGTGTTGTGTTCGGAGTCTCCAGTAGTCCGTTTATTTTGGGAGCGGTTATAGAATTGCATTTACAGACTATTTTGGCACGTGATCGACGAATTGCTGGTTCAAGCAGGAGCAACAGTATCCTGAAGCTGATGAACAGTTTTTACGTGGATAATTGTGTCACCAGCGTGGACTCTAACGAAGAATTGCAGGAATTTATGCACACCGCAACCTCGGTAATGGCTGAAGGCAAATTCGAGCTGCGAGGTTGGGAGTATACGAGGGATGACTCCTGTGGATCTCCAACGCCAGTTTTGGGTATGTTGTGGAATAAGATCGAAGATACCTTGTCATTGAATCCGGCAGCGTTAGAGCAGAATGAGACAAAGCAAAAGGTCATCATGAAGAAGACGATCTTCTCTGCCGTTCACAGAGTGTTCGATCCGATTGGCTTTGCCTGCCCGGCGATGTTGTGTCCTAAATTGTTACTCCAGAAGGCATGGGTGTCAGGCATCGATTGGGATGCAGAGGTGATTGAAGAAGTCAAAACGGAGTTTCTACGTTGGATTAAAGAACTGCCGCTATTGAAGGAAGTTGAAATTCCTAGAGGAATGTTAGCCGAACCGATAAATGAAGATAGCCTTAGTATTCACACATTCTGCGACGCCAGTCAAAATGCGTATGCGGCGGTGGTTTTCGCGCGAACGGAAGGTCCTCTGGGAGTTGGAACTCAGCTGATAGCGGCCAAGACAAGAGTATCTCCAGTGAAGAAGGTGACAATTCCACGTCTGGAATTGTTAGCTGTGACAGTGGGTGCTAGACTGACCAATTTTGTGGTTAAGGCTCTTAAAGTTGAAAGGATTTCGATATTTATGTGGACTGATTCTACGACGGCTCTATCCTGGATTTAAAGAGAGTCTCAATGGAACACGTTTGTGTGGAATCGTGTTCAAGAAGTAAGGAAACTCACTGAACCAAAGTTATGGAGACATGTTCCTGGAGGAATGAATCCAGCAGATTTACCTTCCCGTGGATCTACGGTGAAGCAGCTGATCGCTTCGCGATGGTGGGAGGGTCCAGAGTGGCTGCGACGTCCCGCAAAAGACTGGCCGTCGGGCGAATTCGAAATCAACGAGGAGGACATCAATGCAGAGAGGAAGAAGATATCCACGTCTTCAGTGAGCTGCGATGAACGAGCTGGACTGTCGACGGAGCTGACTGTGAGTCAAGTTACCAGTGAGCGAATGGAGCAATTGGACTGGTATGAGCGTTATTTCTCCACGTATCATAAGATTGTGAGATTAGTCGGATGGGTAAGTCGATTTGTTACTAATTGTATGAATCCGCCTTCTGCGCGTATGAAAGGAGAGTTATGTGCACGAGAATTTAGTGCTGCCGAAATTAAATTATTAAAGCTAGTACAGCAACGATGTTTTAAAGGCGTTAGTGACTCGAGACTTAGCTCGCTAAATCTGTGTATCGATAAAGATGGATTAATACGTGTAACGACTAAAATTACGAACCGTCCGGATACGTATAATTTTCGGTATCCCGTAGTGTTAGATTCTAAAGATTCGATTGTTAAATTGCTCGTTAAAGAGAGACACGATAGACTGTGTCATACAGGGGTACAGACGTTAGTGAGTGATATTAGAGAGCGATATTGGATACTTGCCGCTAGACGAGCTGCTAGAAGAGTGATAGATAAATGTGTGATCTGTAAGAGACAAAAGGGCAAGCGTCTAAAGGCGATACCCACTCCGTTGCCGACTGACAGAGTAAGAGATGCCGCTGTGTTCGAAGTAACCGGTGTAGATTTAGCGGGGCCGGTATTTCTTAAAAGGAATCAAAAGGCATGGATGTCTTTTTACGTGTGCGATATATAGAGCCGTGCACCTTGAGTTGGTGACTTCTTTGTCTACTTCTGCGTTCGTTGAAGGCCTTCGTAGGTTTGTAGCGCGTCGCGGAAGACCAAGTGTTATGTATAGTGACAATGGCACTAATTTTGTTGGCGCGGTAAAGTTATTTCGCAAGGTAGATTGGAAAAGAGTCTCGGAATATAATTCTGTTCAAAAAATAGATTGGCGTTTTAACCCGCCCAGTGCTGCCTGGTGGGGCGGATTTTGGGAGCGGATGATAGGTTTACTGAAACCGCTTTTGAGAAAGATACTAGGCAAAGCATGTTTATCCTACGAAGAGATGTTAACGTCTTTATGCGATTGCGAAGCCATTGTTAATGCGCGTCCTATTACTTACGTGTCAAACGATCCGATGGATTTGTGTCCACTGACTCCCTCCATGTTTTTACAGGAAGTTAGAGAAATTGGAATGCCGGATTGCGATGATGTGAATCGATGCGATATTAATAAGCGATTGCGGTACAGACAAATGTTAAGGGAAGACTTACGTCGGCGTTTCCGATCGGAATGTTTAGGGAAGTTATCGTACGAATCCAAAACGAGAAATTTAGCGTCAGTTATCGGTGTGGGTGACGTCGTATTAGTCGGTAATGACGATCGGAAGCGCATGGATTGGCCTCTGGCAGGCGTAATGGAAGTGATTCGCGGAAAAGATGGCAACGTACGACTTGTGCGATTGAAGACTGCGCGTGGTGAGTTAATGCGTCCTGTACAACGTTTGTACCCTCTTGAAGTGTCGAATAATGAGAGATCAGCGATGTTGCCGCGGAGCAGCATACCTTGTAATGTCACGCCAGAGCCAGATACTGTCATGGATAATAGTAATGATGCGATCAGTCCACGTAAACAGTTTGTTACTCGAAGCGGACGCATAAGTAGGGAACCGGATAGGTTAAAATTTTAATTTTTCTTCCTATTTTACGCCCTTTTTTCTTTTGTAATGTTGAGTCTGAGACTCAAGGTGGGAGGATGTCGTGAGCGCCATCTACACCGACGCGATCGAGAGAGCGGAGGCGAGGAGTAAGCGCTACCAGCAGGGTGACGTTTTTTATTTTTTAGTTAGTTTATGGCGGAACGTGTGTTACGTCAATCACGTGGCGATGCGCCGAATTGTATTGTATCAAAATAAAGTGTGTCTGCAATTCATTATCTGTAAAACGGTCGTGTAGTGTCTCTTATTCTTTACCCACAACAGCCGGCGTCGCTGTTCGCCTCTTTCTCCCCGCACACTTTGGGCGGACCGAATCAGTATGCCAGAATCGTGGGATTTTCGCGCGAGCGCATACCCTCTCCATGCCTCCCGTGGGTATTCTACCCAAGCATATTCTAGCCTGTCCGTGAGAGCTCTGCCCCCACTACGTCCTACTCAGCGACTCACCAACACAAGCGTTTTCTACCTCTGTCCGTGTGCGCTCTGCTTCGGGTGTCCTCGGCAAAAGTCTACGTCACACGTTTACGACGCGACGGCCGAGTGGCCCAAGCCAGGTCAAAATCCCGTATCCCAAGCAATCTAAACTCCGAGAGTCAAGAGCAGCATGAATTTTCTAACGCCCTCATGACGAGGACCCCGTCCATAACCCTGTTCGAATCCCGATGCGACGCTATTACTTTTTATTTTTAATTATTGTGTAATTTTAGTTTGTAATTTGCCAGTAAAATAATAGGTTCAAAAATATTAATTTAAGAAGCATTTTACAAAAATGGGAGATGTATTTATTACTCTTTAATATTTAAATTTTATATTACACAAATACATATTCTTTTATATATACCATAGGCAAATTATTCTTACAATTAGATGTTACCTTCATTCTAACTATTGCAGTACATACATATGAAAACATTGGAAGAAAAATCCATCACATTAATATGTTACGTACAGTAAAATGAAAGCTTGGAAGATATTAATTTCAGAAACGCTTCATTGTTATATTCGGTAGTAGTGCTATTATTCCAATTGCGGTTTAAACTATGTGCATATGTACTTCTTTTCAGATATAGAAAAGTAAAGGACCGACGCCGAGAGCAGAATGATTTCTCTCACACGCTCGTTCATGATGAAGAGCCTGTTCGTATCCCGATGCGACCGTTTTAGTTTTTATTTTTAATTATTGTATAATTTCACTTTGTAATATGTCAGTAAAATAACAGCTTCGAAGATATTAATTTGAGAAGCATTTTCAAAATTCGATTTTTGTATTAATGATATATTTCGCGTTTCTGAGAACCGTTGCAGTAGGTCCACGCACACGTGATGTTAGTAGTCTTTTACTTTTCTATGTCTGAAAAGAAGCATACACATAGTGTGAACCGCAATTGGAATAATAGTACTACTACCGAATATGACCATGACGC